ATAAATTATATCAATTGAGATAGTTTTCAGTTTTAATTTTAATAAAGTTTATTTCTTTATTTATTAAATAGTGAAAAGATCTAAAGAGCTATAGTATAGAACAGAGATATTTAAATATATAATTGATGTTAAACAAATTACAAATAAATTAATAATAAAATAGAAAGTAATTGGTTCTAAATTATTAATCTTAAAGATAACACATCTCCAAGTTATGCTGTACTTAATAAAATATGTATAAAATATAAATAATAATAAAAGATAATTAACACGAATTAAAAATAATAAAAGAAAAAGAATGAATAAAAATAAAAACAATGTGTATTCAAATTAATAATATGATCTATATTTTATATCTAATCTATTTAGTGCAATATTAAGAAGTATTAAATGTAGATTTGTGTTAATTTCTAATATATTATACAAGAAATGATAAATTTAACACGAAAAATAATAGATATAATACAAGAAATTACAAGAATATATGAAAATTGTTACATAGAATAAAATTCAAATGTGCTAAAAGAAATTTTTTATTTTTGTTAGTGATTTTTGCTATGTACAAAATCTAGTATTCAGAATTTGAAATATCTTGCTTGTATTATTCTTATATATATTTATATATTTAAAATTTGATTTATTTCCATGATCTTGTCTTTTATAAAAATGTTCTCTATGTATAATAAAATATTCTGAACAAATATTGAGATCGATATTCAACTTCTGGATTATTAGTAATATTTTCTAATTCTTTAATATAAGATATTTGAAAATTTTTTTAAAAATATGTTTCAAATACTATATACATGTTTTATCTCAACTGAAAAAATATTTTGACTTTTTGCAAAATAAATAACATCAGCAAAAAATTTAGCTCTTTTCAATTAATTGTAATTTTTTAATATGCAAAGAATGAAATTGATTTTGATCAAAAAGAAAATGAGATTGACAAATACTTATTATCAGCAATTTGTTTTTCACTTGGATCTGTTAAAAAATCTTTGTATCAATTTTTCAAGATCCAATAAGTTGAGAAAGTGATTTCTGTTTTTGTAAATAATTTGAACAGCATTGAATATGATCATCAATTAAATCCAGAATTAGACAAATTAATAATATTTGATTAATATATTCTCAATAAAATATTTATTTTCATTATTTGATCCAAATATAATTGATTCTGATTCAAATATTAGTATCTCTTTGCTATCTGTTTCAGTATCAATATCAATATTCTTAAAAGAAGTATATACTTATCTTCATCTACTTCTATACTTTTCAAAATTGGTTTTATCAAAAAGAAAGAAATTTGTTTCTATATTAAAGTTCAATGCATTATTTATACTCTCTGTTATAACACTTTCAGATACAAGACTTTGGTAGTCATGCTCATACTTTCAATATCTTTCACATCATAATCATCTGGAACATAGTCAAAATTGTCAAAAAATAACACATTATTAAGATTCATATTGCTTGTGTTGATTTTTGGATCTTGTGAATTCATAGCAAGCATTTGCCATAAAGATAAGAAAACAATGTGAAAGTTTTTTCTGTAAAGGAGATAATATGGAAGCATTTTTTAAAATGACAATGCTGTTGTAATTATATTTTTAATGTTTGATGAGACTATTGATATATAATTTAAATGTTATTATTAGATTTTCTTATTCTAATATTAAAGCAATTTGAAATATCATATTGAACATAATGATAATGATAATAAGAGTTTATTAAATATAAAAATTAATTATTATTTACTTATTGTTATCATTGTTTTTATTGTTATTATTATTATTATTTTTATTGTTATCGCCATACGTATTTATAGTTTCCTTTATAAATTTGAACGTGTGAACAGCTCAATCCCTTAATTAATATCGATATACTGATACTTGATCAAAAATTAAGGCACAAAATTGATTAACTGTAAATATTACCAATTTAGAAAAAAACTTATCATAAAGTTGAGTTACTTTGGCTGAAGATTTTTTAAAAACTACAAGTACTATAATATACAAAATAAAATAATTAGTAAAAAAAAGGTAATTTAGCAAGATTTAGCAATATATCTTGTGTCATAAGGATGCTAACATAGAAGCGAAGTTGGCTTTCAGCGATGATTTTCTATAGTAAACTATGTAAATTTTGAGCGTGTGAACGGCAGTCGATCTCTTACGTAATTAATACACTTGCTCAAAAATTAACGTTAACGTTAAGGGACAAATTGATCGACCGATAATGATAAGCTACAAATTTGTCGTATTTAATGGATTTAATTCTTTTCCGATAGTTACTTCAACCTTATCAAGATATAACATCGCTATGAAAATTATTTCAACAAAACGAATTACTTTTCTAGCATAACTATTTAATGTTTTTTGCTCAGACCTATAGCGTAAAGTTACAATCCAGCAAAGAACACGACCAAAATTTTTTTATCAATATTATCGTTGTCCGTGATACACTGTGAATTTAGAAACTTCTCTTCCGATAAAATTCTATGCACATACAGTTGGCTCTCGTTAAAAAGAAATGTATCGGTCGGTTTTATCGAAATATCCGGTCAAAGTTTATTTAAAATAAATCTGGTTAATTGAATACAGTATACAGAAGTTCATAATTGGAAATTCCTTCACAATAAGCGCGTGTATTTTATGGAAAGACGTGAAAATAACTTAATTCTTATTATTTCGTCATTATCTTATTCTTTTTCACAGAACCAAAATCATTATCGTTAACGATGAACTGTAAATGCATACCGATACGTATAGCGTAGTGTGTAACAGTAATTTTCTCGAAAACTGGAATCTCGTTATCGTTATTGTGGAAATCGAACTTTTTTGTAATACCGACGATACTGTTCATTAAATACATGTACGTACATGTATCTTGTTTATCGTTATTGTTACGTTTACATGTATTATTTTATCCTTACGATACTTTTTCAAAGCAAATTTTTTTATTGATCAGAAATAACAAATATTATCAAGAATATTAAAGATAACTTTGTTATTAAATCAATAAGCAAATGGCGACATTAAGCACTCAACAAGTAGCCAAAGTCACGTTTCAATACCTGGTGCAAAATATTTCGGATGATATGTCACCAGTATATAGTCCGATATTTGCGACTTCGGATAATATGTTTTGGCAGTTACAATTCGGAAGGGTGATTATAAATTAATTGACCAAATAGGTTATTTTATTCAATTTTTTTTACATCGAACATGAATATACGCATTGATCTTTAGACAGAACCGAATTATCTCGCAATATATTTGAGTGCGATTCCGAATGAACAAGAGACATTAGACGCGGATGCATGGGAATTACGTAAAAAATACACGGCAAAATTGTTTTTGAAGAATTCGTTGACAAACAAGTTTATTGTGAAATTGGATTTCGAGGATATAAAATTTGATGCTATTTCGACAACATGGGGTAAATAATAATTATTTAGGTTTCTAAATTTTTAGGCTGCATGTAAACTTTCAATGTTTTCTTCTCTATTTAAATAGGATTAAACATGTGCGAAAAATCAGAATTACGAAATAATCAAGTAATCGTTGGTGTTGAATTTGATAAACCACAAGATGATCTTGTTTCCTTGGCCACATCCGTTAATAAAGAATCCATCCCTAAAGACCTTCATGAAGCTTGGAATGCTCTATTAGATGATCCTTTGCACGGAGACGTGCAATTCTCTGTACAAGGAAAAATAATACATGCTAATAGTAAAATTCTTACAATTCGGTCCTCATACTTTAAGAAATTATTAGAGCAAGGAGAAGGCTCCGACTCGTCTTCCACATCAGAATCACAAACCCCAACATCAACCTCAGAACAAAAATTACCGGAGACACCTATTGGAACAAATTCAACTGAAACAGTCACCAAAAAAAACACGTTACAAAAAGTGACAAAACATGATTCATTGAAAAAAGAAAAAGCAAAGGAAGAAAAAGAAAAGGAAAAAGAAAAAGTAATCGAAAAGAAATCAGACGAAGAACCTAAAATCATCGAAGTTCAAGATTTCATGGTGTCAACATTCAAAGAAATGCTACGATTCCTTTACACGAATAAAGTCGAATTTAGCAAACGAGTGAATGCTCCCACTTCCCCGTTATTAATCTATCAGATCGCCGATAAATATCAGATAGACGATTTAAAACGTTGTGCGCGTCTCGCGTTATTTCAACGAGTCAATATTCAAACTGCTGCAACTTACTTGTTTGGCGCCGCGTCACAATTCTCCGAATTGAAAGAATTTATTTTGGAATTCGTGTTATCGAATTTTGAGAAAGTGAGAGAATCGGAAACTTTTAAAACTATCATTTCGGATCCGGCGAGTCATCCATTGTATGTCGAGATTGTGACGGAGTTGTTTGGAAGGTTGGCGTCGCCAAAAGGAAATAAATAATTTAATTTAGATTGATTCTAATTTTTGTTTATTTATTAATTCAAAAAGATCGAAGCATATATACACGCCATAATGTTTCTAGGCATGTGCAGTTTTCGAAGCAATTTCAAATTGATTTTTTAACGATAACGATAAGATATACATTAAAACTACGACCACTTAGCGTAATATTTTATTTATACTGTATTTTTTACTAGCGCTAGGTGTTGTAATTAACTTTCACTGAGACAAAAAGAAGGAAATATAACAGCTGTCGAAAATGAAAGGTAATATGCTACCAAGATTATGTTTGCGTCAATAAGAGGGGATTTTTACTAAATACATGTATATTTAATTTATTTTAAAACTTTCTAATACTAACACTTTATAAGAATTTAGTTGATGTTAACAATTGTTTTGGAAACAGGATATCAACTAAGTTAATTTCTTTGCAAATACGTACGTAGTTCGGTAACAATCTGAAGTGGATCAAGAAAAGACATTCGGGAAGATAATCAAAAAATATTGATTCACAATTAATGTTACCTCGAAATATTCTAAAATCCTGTGCAAATTAAAGGGTAATTACGTATGGGGTCAGTGTTAGGGTTAGGGTTAAAATGGATTATATGTAAAATTGTCTCCCGACATTTTTGATTAGTACGTACTAGCGCTAGGTTTAGACACCCGTTTTCTTGTGTCGGGTTTGTTTTGCCGGGCTGATTAAGTTTGCGCATCCTTATTAGTTTGTGCTACCAGGCATGTGACAATTTGCGCATCATTATTGATTGTGGTGCTTTTTGGGTACATGTATCATAAATCGTGATTTATAGTACCCTACTTTTCTGGCTTATCGTTATGCACAAATAATCAATGATGACAAAAAAACTATTTGGAATAATTATCTTTGTTTATTATCGTTATATTTACAATATTTAAACGAATTTCTAATTAAATTTGCATTGAGAGATTCCCACGCCATCCAGCAAGTATAATAATTTTTTAATATGCTCTAAGAGAGTTAATTATGAATTATTTCTAACATTCGTTGGTTATATAATACACAGATCTTTTAAAGTTATTTTTAAATATGTATAGTACAGGTTATTTATTTACCACACAAAAGGGAATTAACTTTAAATTTTATCAGAATCCCGCTTTATGATTAAAGTATGTAAATTGATAGTTCATTAACTATTCTATAATATTACTATTTTTTTAACTTGAAAAATTCTAATTATCGAGTTAATCGCTCTTAAAAATTAAGGAATTTTTGTAAGTTTATATATTAATTTGGCAATTTTTGGCTATTATCATAAAGCACTAAATCCAGATACTTAAATACTATATAGTAAATAGTAAATGTTCTATGTTAATAATAATATGAAGAAACAAGAAATCATTAATTATATATTTGAATAAATATACCAGAATTTTTATTTCCCTGCCCTCTCTTTTGAGTTTCAGTAAAAATTAATAATTATCAATATTTGAATATATAATTATAAATTTATTCAGTAATATAGCAATTATAATAATTAAGAAATCTATATTGTATATATAAAAACAAGTAAATAAATAATATATTTTTTATTTTTATTTTAAAACTTTATATAAAGTAAATAGAAATTATAACTAAATTTATATTTTATTAAAGAATTAAAGATTAATCAAATTAATTAAATGTATATAAATGAGTCAAAAACTAATAATTTAAATTATTAAAAGACTGAATATTTTTGATTTATCAAAGTATTTTTGTTTTATTAATTCAATTTTTTTAATATATTATTCAAAAAAACTTTCTTAAAGTATATATTTTAATTTAAAATACAAAATAAAAACAATTTAATTATATTAGTCATGTATTAAAAATAATAATAAATTTATTTCTTATTATTTCTAATATAAAATAGTAGTAAAATATAGAAAATATTGTTTAATATATGTTTTAACAATTTTTGATCCAATTATTTATTAAAGTTACATATTTAATAATATAATATATATAATATTAATAATATAATTAGTAACTTAAAATAATTATTTTGTATTTTATATAATTTTATAATTTTATAAATAATTATTTTATATTTTTATATAAAATAATAAATAATTAGTTTTTATTTATTTGTTCACTTTTTTAAAAAAAATAACAAAATTCAATTTATAAATTATTTTAAATAATATGTTTTAAAATAATATTATGGCAAAATAAATTTTTAAAAAGTTAATTTATATCAAATTGAATTATATTATTTCTTAAATTATCTTATTGAAATAAAAAAATACTTATACTAATAATAACTAAAACAAAAATAATTTATTATATATAAAATTCTATAAAAATAATTAGTTATAAAATTTTAATCTTTAAAATAAGAAAATTAAAAATTATAAATACAAGAAATGGTTTAAGAAATTTTTAAATATATATTTTTAAATTAAAAATATTACTATTTTTATATTTAATATATTTGTTATTTAATATATTAGATTATAAATTTGAAAATCAAAATATATTTTATATTTATTTTGATAGTTAAACAAAAGAAATAATATTTTTATTATTTAAATTATTATATAATAATTAAATATTGATAGTATATTTAATTTTTTATTTTTATTAAATACTTAATTTATTTGATTATTTTATATTATATCTTATTAAATTATATTTTTATTAAATATTATAATTATTTCTAAATTTAATTTATATTATTAATTATATAATAAATAAAAAAATATAAAATAATAAAAATATTATAAAAGATAAAATAATATAAAACAATAAATTAGAAATAAAAGATATTTAATTTATTTTGTATTAAGTAAAAAGATATTTTAGATATTTTAATAATATTATTTTATATATAATTCAAAACAAAAAGATTTATATTTCAAAATAAATTAATAATTATTTTTAATAAAAGTCATTCAAAATTTAATTAAACTTTATAATTTTTTATACTAAGTAAAGTAATAATTTAAATTACTATTTATATTTTTATTCAATAATAAATGAAGCAATATTTTTTTAAAAAATATATTTAAGTATTATTTTTATTAATTTATAATATTAGAACTTCAAATTATGCAAGTATATTACTATATATTAATAAAAGTTTATTTTTAATTATTGCAAAATTAAGTTTCAAAGTTTTACAATAAATTATTATTATATATATTTTATATTAATTTTAATTAAATTTTATATAGTAAAATTTATGTAATAAGAATTTAAAAAAGTTATTACTAGTAAAAATATATTTATTTTAATTAATTTTAATATCTAATAACTTAATAAAATTAAATTTTATTTTAAATAATAATTTATTAATTATTTTCAGTACAAATATTTTTGTACTGAATTATATAAATAATATTTTACTTAATAACAAGCAAGAAGATAGTTAAATTAAAATAAATTAGAATAAATATAGTGTATACTATCTAAATTTATTAAATATTTGTATAAAATACAAATATTTAATACCTTTAGATGATATATATCATAACTTATTACTTGAATAATTTTTTTATAATTTTTTATATATTTAATTTAATTTAATTTTGATTATAACCTTGAAATAGTCTAATAATATTGTTTTTTATATATTATATACTTGTATAATCTATATAAAATACAAATAGAGATAGCAATAGTGAAAAGTATAGTAATAAAAAAGCTTTGTTAATAAAACTATCTTAAACTTATTAATTATATATTATATAATTTTCTTAATAATAAACTTAACTTGTTTTATAATTTTTCTTATAACTGTAAAAAGAAATTTATATCAAGATCTTCTGCTATACAAATACTATTAAAAGAACTGATATAACAATATTTTGCAGATCAATTAATTTTATTTCTTTATTTATAATAAATTAAGTGCTTGCAAATAAAAAAATAATTACAAATAAATAATATATAGCTATATATTTAATAATTCAAATTAATAAAATAATATTCACTAGTAATTAATTTTGTAATAAACTGCTTTCAATCACTTTGGACTCATAAAATTAAAAGATGCTGTTCATCTTAAATGCATTTTATTGAGATAAATAATCTGATTAGGAGGAATATACATATAAATAATTCATACAAGATAATTCAATTATAACTGGTTGAATTTGTAAAAAAATTATTATTTGATAAGTTTGTTCATTTTGCCAAGCAAAATTATTATTTGTATTAAAGTAGCCACTTTGTTATCTGGTATCAAGCAAAGCGCTGTTCGGATCGTTTCGGGTTTGAGCTCAACTCGAACTGATAAATTCGGTCAGATTCGGATCGGGTTTGCTCTGAAAATCGTAAAATAGTTTTTAGTTAATAACTTTTATATTTACTATGACACTTGTATTTTGTGTCTTAAGTAGCGTTGTTTGGAATGTAATTGTGTATATATTTACAAATATTTGTTTAATTTGAATCAATATTGAACGAGAAATAATGATTTTTAGGCTGATCGAAATATTTCGGGTCGCAGATTGGACCCGACCCGACCCGATTAGAGCACTAATCACAAGTATTTTTAGAGCAAAAAAAGATCATTTCAGTAAATTGCACGCTTTTAGCTTTTATTAGCTATTAGAAACTATTCAATAGTAATGATAAAAATTTTTGGGTGCATGTTAAATGCTTTTTGATAAGATTAATAAGCTTATCTCACAAATTTGATATTCAATCTGTTCCTGATCAGGCTTGAAGATAGGATCAATAAAATTAAATTTGTTATAGCTTTATTTGATTGATATTAATTTTGATGAATTCACTTGTTATTCTTCAATATGGCTCAAAGCCAATCACGTGTTGAAGATAATCTATAAAAAATAGATTATCTGATCTTGGTGTTTATAAACTGTCTTGTTTTTTTCGGTCTCGTTACGAGGTTTCTCGTCCTGCAGCACGTACTCTCCGACCAAGAGTCTTTTTCCTAACTTCGCAAAAAAGAACCATAAAAACTAAGCCTATGTATGAACTCTCTTCTAATGATGAGTCAAGCAAGATATCCCTCCCTCCTTCGGCATCTAAATCCAATAAACGAGATCTGGAGGCACTGAGGATTAGCTTCAAGCCAGCTTCAGCCGAAAACTATGTAATACCGAATGTTGAAAGTACGAATTACATTATATTAACAATCCTCTTAGCGAACCTAATACTTATAATTTGAATATTGTCTAGTTACAAACTTTCCGGATCAGTATGTTCTCCCTGATATCGGTGCTGAAATACTTCAAAGCCCAAATTTGATATTTGCAAACTTGAGAAGAATCTCGGACCCTGACGTTAAAACATTCGTTTCCAAATTGCATGACGTCGTGGTGAATGGTATTCAGGTGGTAGGCAAAGACGAAACTTAACTAGCATATTTATGGAGGATCTACTTCGTGTCGCTAAACTGAATAGCTGACCCTTAAAGGTCAGGTGCGTAATCATGAAAGTCTTATATGAATATGTGCTTTTACTGTTTACAGCTATACAGTGGCCGTCATATGTTTTGCATCACGTAAATAATAAAATAATAATGGTAATATCTCGTGATTTTACATGTTATTAACATGTGCAAATAAATATACAAAAAGGGAAACTAGAAGTTCCTTAAAATTCATTTAATTTCTATTTTTGGCAAAAATGTAATATTTCAGCAATGCGTTTTTCTTTTGACTGTTTGTTCGTTCAAAAGTAAATCCATATAACATTTCCAAATTTTATAACAAAACACAACTCGAATAATATAAAAGTTATACCTATTAGTATAGTTTTTCATTTCATTTTAATAAATATATCGCTACATCAATATGGGTCATATCACTATCGAACAAAGATCACGAATTTCTGCCCTTCTTCAAGAAGGATTCTCTTCCAGTTATATCGCATCAAAAGAAAATATTGCGCAATCTTTTGTTATCTGACTTAAAAAAAAAACATAGAAACTACTGGTGCTGTAAAAGATTTACCAAAATCTGGTCACCCACGATTTTTTACAGGCTGTGATGAACGTAATATTATACGATATATTTCGAGTGGTGAATGTTCTAATGCTGTATCAATTCAAAAAAATTTACTAACTAATAATAAAATCAATGTAAGCGATAGTACTATAAGAAGAACTTTACATAGAAATGTTTTTCTGCTAGAATTAAATGAAAAAAATCATATTTGAAAAAACACATCGAAAATTGCGTTTAAAATTGCTAAGAAATACAATGATTGGACGGTGGATGATTGGAACAGGGTGATTTGGTCAGATGGGTCAGACGGTCGTGAATATTGTTGGAAACGCAAAAATGAACCACTAGATGATCGCCATGTAAAACCTACGTTCAAATTTGGTGGCGGAAGTATTATGATCTGGGGTTGCTTTTCTTCCTTCGGCATTGGTAACATCGTACGCATTTTTGGCACCATAGATAAGGAATTATACTGCGAAATTTTGAATGATGACTTGTTAGAAATTATCGAGCATTACGAGTTGGATAAGAATAATATTGTTTTCCAACAGGATAACGATCCGAAGCACACGGCTAATTTAATGGAGCAATGATTTTACGATAATGAGGTATTAGAATGGCCATCACAATCTCCTAACCTCAACCCTATAGAACATCTCTGGAATGAGATGGATATACGTTTGAGAAGGTTAGAAAATCCAGTTCGTACTCAAGATGAGTTATGGGAAGCTATTCAAAAAATATGGATAGAAACAGATCATAATTTTTTAACTAGTCTAATTGAAAGTATGCCCGAACGAATAAATGATGTAATTGAGGCTAAAAGAGGGTATACAGAGTGATAAAGAATATTTATTTAAATTTTGTAAATTCTTCGTCGTTATTTATTTAAATTTAAATATCAGTTTTAAATTATTTGCATCGTAAACAGTCAAAAAAAAAGCATCATGTAAAATTGCATCGATCATTATTATTTCAATTTAGTGATTATTAATTAAATAAAGAATTATATTTACATGTTTTGTAACATTTGGTAAACAATATGCGTCAGAATTTGTGAGTTTCAGATGTTTGTATGTAATGTTATTGAATTTACAATTTTTTTTGTGTGATGCAAAACAATTGATGGCCTATAAGAGAATCAATTATAAAATCTATTTATTTACTAAATGAAAAATTAATTAACCAAAAATTTTAATAGTAAATATAATAAAATTTTATATTAAACTTTTATATTGCAAATTGATTGTAAAAATTTTTTATGATTCAATTTATATTTTAATTATAAAAAAATTTACAATAGATTTGAAAATAAACTTTCAAATTAAATAAAGAATATATATATATATTATTACGATTTAATATAAAATTTCTCAAGAAATTTGAAAATTTCAATAGAAAAATAATTTCAAATTTCCTTTTTTAATTTTTCAAGTCAAAGTTTCATATTATAATATCATGCTATTGAAACTCTGACAAATATAATATCGATATGACTTTAGTATAAAAATGTTTATAAATGAATGTATAATTTTTATATGGTGCATAACATTAAACGTATCAATAGATTATATTTTAAAACTTCTTTAATAAGAGAATTTATAAAATTTAATGCGTGAATTTGATCAAGAAAGGCCTATTCTATCATATTCACGGATTGAATTTCGTATTTCTTATAAAATACAATCTATTGATAAATTTAGATGTTATGCACCATACGTACAATGAAATGATCAAATCAGATTTCGAAATCATCGATATCGATGTACATGAAAGATCAATATATCATCATTGATATATTCTTAGTGCGGGAAAAACGGTAGTTGGCTTGACTAATGATATAAAGGAGTACTGCGATCAACTTATTCACTAAAAAACATGTCTAAATTTACAAGAAATCTTATTAAAGATTTGGCCGAGCTTTTAGAAAACTCGGACGAATATAATATTACTATCACCGCAGGCGAAAATGAAAACGCAAAAAAGTTTCAAGGGCACTCTCTCATTCTGCGCGCACGTTGTCCGTATTTTCGTCGTACGTTATCAAAAGACTGGGCAAAGAAAGAAGGTGAAATGATGGTTTTTAAAAAGCCGAACATTTCGCCTATAGTATTCAAGCTTATACTAAAGTATGTGCCGCATCATTTATTTAGTTTTATTTCATAATCATGACAATCATGCCAATAAATTTATTTAATCAATTAAAATATAGATATTTATTTACTAGCGAAATTGATCTCAATGAAGAAAGCGGAGACGATGTTTTGAATTTACTCGTTGCCGCAGATGAACTAGAAATTCATGAATTAATTCATCACGCGCAAGACAATTTAATTTCAAAGAAGTTTACCTGGATTCAACAAAATCTCGTAAAGATTATGCATACCGTTTCGCTTCATGAATTATTTGAAAGATTATCTGAACATTCTAATAAAATAATCAACGAAGAACCTCATCTAATTTTAAAAGCTAGTGATTTTTTATCTCTGAAAGAATCAGTACTTGTGTCTTTGCTCAAGCGCGATGAGCTAGCCATGGATGAAATTGAAATCTGGAATTCCATGATCAAATGGGGTACAGGCAATACTTTAAATTTAGGCAATCAACCTGTATCAAAATGGACGCCTCAAAATTTCGCCGCTTTAGAAAAAACGCTTCATCAATGCATTCCATTGATCAGATACAGTGATATCTCAAGCAATGATTACTTTAAAAAAGTAATGCCTTATCGGAAAATTATCCCGAAGGACATGAAAACGGAAATTTTGGGTTATCATTTTACAAATTCGAATCCACAACCTATCAAAATTTTACCTCCGCGATCAGGCTCAATTAATTCTAAAATTATTAAGTTTAAACACACCAATTTGATTTCCTCTTGGATTGATAATATAGCGATAGGTAACATCAATTATTCTGAGAGTGTTACCGAAAAGGTTATCGAAAGTTTTGAAGAGACAAATATAGAAACAGTGGAAGAACACATTCATGCTGACTATACTCTTTACAAGGGAGATAAATCTAACGAATCTCACAAATCGCTATATGAATTCAAACTCCTTTATCGCGGTAGCCGCAATGATTTTGAAGCAAAAAAATTCCGTGAGCTTTGTGGTTCTCAAACAGGAACCGTGGTAGTCGTGAGAACAAACAAAAGTGGAAAAATTATTGGCGGCTACAATCCTGGCGATTGGGGTGGAAATGTTATTAGTAGAAATGTTGATAGTAAAAAGGCTATTAGGGGTAGAAATGTTAATAATTACTATAATGGATATGGTGGTGTTAGTTATCTTAATGCACCTGGTACATTTATCTTTTCCTTAGGTGATGGAAGTGATCTTCAAAGTGCAAAAATTTCACGCAACAACTGGGGAAATCAAATTGCATACAATCCTTATCAGGCTGATTCTGGTCCCTATTTTTATAATGATTTATATATCAGCGACAACTGTAATAAAAATGAGTCGAGCTGGTATCAATATTGTAGCTATGGAACTCAAGATTTATGGGATGAAGCTTATGCAGGGCTAAGATATATCTTTAAAGTAGATGAGTATGAAGTATTTCAAATTTCAAAAAAACATCACGTTAAGTAAAAGAACAATTTTATAGCCTTCAACCACAAAAAATTTGTAGTTACCATTAGATATAGTATTATTGACTATCTTTACACTAAAACATTTGCAATTTTTGATATTGTTTCTATCTTTTCAAATTTATCTCTATTGTATATTAAAAGCTTGATTTGATTAAGCTATACAAGTACAGTCGTCCTTCTTTATAAAAACATGGTTCATAAGAAATCGTATAAAAGCCTCTATATATTAACATATTTGGAATCAGTTATAATTAAACTTATAAAAAATTCCTTTATATAAGAACAACATTTCTATAAGAACATTTTTATGGCCCAACCATTATTCATAGCTAACTAATTTAATACTAATCATACGTGCATTAATTTGAGAATGAGTATTTCACATCTTACACAAAATTAATCAAAATTCTGTTCCATTAAGTGTCTGTGGGATCGTATGTGATGGACGTAATCGAATGCGTCCGCCACTTCCAGAGTGTTGTTATTGGAATTGTCATATGTAAGTACGTATAAAAATTATTCTTGACTGCATATAATTTATTTCTGATTTTTAAATATTAGAAATCCATTTGAATAGATGAACATTTCTCAAATAATAAACAGCCCACATCAAAAAACATTGCAAGGAAGCTGTCAATAAAATCAACGAAGAACAATCAGATCAGAAATTGATTGGCTCGAAACTTTATCAAAATCCGAAAAAATAAATTATCGTATTGCTTTCATGGTCTACCAAATTTTTTCCCTATATCGAGCTGGGCAAACTTTCTACTCTTTAGATTTCGGTGATGGGAGACCTGTAAAGTGTCGTTTCGAGCATAGTGAATACATTGATTGTTCGGCGTATTTTTTCCCTGATATCGAAGTTTTCTTGAGTATGGAACTGAGCATTTGCAAAAAACATGGAGTTTAGAGGATTTTTATCTCCACGTGCTCGCATAATTAATCTCCAAATATGAGCAACTAAAGCATCATTTGTTGAAATCCAATTAGCTTTCATATTTTCGTCATAATTGTTATACATGTAACTAGAAGAAAATACATTTTTCAATCTATCTAATGAGATTCTATTGAAGTAATAATTTTTCATAGTAATATATTTCTTTTCATCATTTCGAGGAACTAATGGCTTTAAAGAACATTACAATTCATTGATATCGTACGGTGCTAGAATTTTGCTCGTTTGAAGTAATTTACGATCACGCACCAGCTGAATTATTTTACCAACAATCTTTCCCCGATTTTCCATAAATGTAATAGTCCTTGTCCATCCATGACACTATGATGCATCGACCAATCACGTATACCGCAAAAATTACAGGGTCATTCTTTTTATGATAGGTATTGTTACCGTAGTGACATTAACTATTTTAGTTCCGTAACTTTTATTCTTGATTTTCCTTTTAAATTTTCTTTAACAATTCCTACATGATAATCCTACCCGAATTAGTTTCTTGCGTAATTCGTATTGTACAATTATCTGGACAATTGAAAGACATCGGACGATTATTGTTTTAGAAAACTTCAAGAGAAACAATCAATGTGAATACTAACCTTAGAATTAGCGTAGTAAATTCGAAACTGTATATATAAATTTACTTGAGTCTCTGAGAAGACATGCTTTGATCGAATAAAATAACAAAGTTTTTACCTGTAATAATAATATTACTCAACACTATTATTTTATTATTTTGTTCATTATCAAAGCTTGCGAGTAAAGTAGAAAGTATTGGATGCTTCTCCACTCTAAATAAGCTGTTGAATTTGTTGAATTGATATTTTGTCTTTATTTTATTTTGATGTTCAGTTTTTCTTTGTACAGACCATACCAATAAGCTTTGTCGTGTTTGAAATTATTTTGATCATTGACGAACAGATAAAATTCTGTTATTGATTTATAGACAATTCTTTTTTTTTATTATTATAAAAAAATAAAATAACTATTATATAATATATAATATAATATACAGTGGCAATCAAAAATAATGCAATGACGTCAAAATTTATTAATTTTTCTCTTTATATAAAAGTTTTCAATTTTACTAATAAATATTTTTTATTTTCACATTAAAAATGAAGATAATAACATATATTTTAACATATATTTTTTTAGATTTAATCTGATAAAGCTGTTCTAATTGCATATAGTCAATTAGAACAGCTTTATCAGATTAAATCTAAAAAATATTTACAGTCAAACCCCTCTATAGTCACACCTGTTTATAGTCACACCTCTCTATAGTCACCCTATTTTGCTTTTCCATTTACATATAAACATAGTAAAAAAATCTCTATAATCACATTCCCTCTATAATCACCAAATTTTGCTTTCCTGAGGGTGGTGACTATAGAGGGATTTGACTGTATTAGTAAAATTGAAAACTTTTATATAAAGAGAAAAATCTGCATTTTACTATGTTTAATTAATAAATTTTGATGTTGTATTATTTCTGATACTGTATAATATAATTAATAAACTAATCAAGCAAGTTAATTCTATCAAACTGTTTTTGAATTAGTTTACTATTTATTTCATATCTATATATAATGCTTATATATTTGTAATGCATATATCATATTCTATACAAATTATCAAACATATAATTTTACTTATCAAACTATATATATATATATATAAAGATATATGTATATAATACAATATATAATTAAAAATATTCAGATACTTGTTTAAAAATTTAATATTTTGTTAATAATATTATTGAAATATTTTTGAAATATCTATTTAAATACCATAATTAATTTGTATATTTATTTAAAAGTAATCTTTTTAATATTCTGATATTTAAAATTCTGATAATTCATTAAATTCTGAATAATTTAAGATTCTAATAGTTTAAATTACTAATAATTTAAAATTCAAAATAATTCAAGCTTTCAATAATTCAAAATTCTGATAGTTCAAAATTCTAATAATTCTAAATTATTAATTAAATAATAATATATTATATTTTAATTTATAAAAACTTTAATAAATAATTTAACAGAACTATTTAATATATTATATTTTGATTTATAAAAATTTTAACAGAAAAATAATTATATATACTTTACTTTCTCGTTTATTATTAATAATTATTAATATTGATTTATTATTTTTTTTTAATAATATAACTTTACAAATCTTATTTATTATAATAATAAAAGATTTATAATAAAAAAGTGTTAAAATTTATATATTAAATAATTGAGAGATGAATTATTTTTTATTTTGCAATTAATTAGTAATTTATTGAATTATTAATTATTATTATTATTATAAAACCAACTATTTAAATTAATATAATAATAATTGTTTTTATATTAAAGTTACTAGAAAGACCTTATTAATATTATAATTTATATATTTTGTAATATTTTTGAGCTTCAAATTTTAAATTATGAGATTAAAAATCTGAAATTTTCTTGAGATAATATGCTAATTATATATATTTGTTATTATGAGTTATTCAGAATTTTGAACTATTAAAATCTTGAATTATTTAGGATTTTGTATCTTTTAGAATCTTAAACTATCTGAATCTTAAATATTAAAAACTCGAATTATTTAGAATCTTGAACTATTAGAATTTTGTATTTATAATTTTGAACTATCAAGATCTTAAATAAACTATCAGAATTTTGAATTTTGTAACATTATAATAAATTTATTTAAAGTATCTAAATTATTTTTGGTAGTCATAGTTTTATATATTTTAATAGATGTTTAAATTAATTACAAAATATTCAGATTAATTATAATATTTATATATAATATAACTTTATTATTATTATAGGATATTTATTGAAAATAAAAGATAAATTCTATTCTTTTAGCTTGTAATTTCTTATAATTTTCTTTTTATTTACTGATCGAATTCAAAATTTTCTCTAAACTATTAATATAAAGAGACAGATACTTATTATTCAAATAGTTAAAACAGACAAATTAAAAAAATTTAAAGCTTTTTATAAAGATTTTTATAAAAAATTAAAAACTTGCAATATATTATTTATAGTTTATTAATAAAATTGTAATTTAATTAGTTTACAAATTTTAATTATTTTTTAAATTATCCAGTAAGCAAATTTGGTTACTAAAAATTTTTTAACTTATTTTTGTATAGTTACTTCTAATTTTATAAGCTTAATCTCCTTTCTCTTTTTAAATTAAAATAAAATAATAATATATTTTAATTAATATAATTTAAAATTTCTAATTTTTATTTATAAATTGCTTAAAATATATAATTTATTTTGTAATTAATTATGTAACTTATTATTAAATATTTAAGGCTAATAATAAAAATTTTTAAAATTGCTTATTTTTAGCTTATAGACAACTCTAATTTTTTATAATTATTAAAAAATGAAAATAACTATTATGTAATACATATATAAAAAGAAATTTTAATTTTTGTTAAAAATATACTAGATATAAATTTATAGAAAAATAAATTCAATCTTGATTAAAATTATCTTATGAAAATTGTTACATCTTTGTATATTTTGATGGAATTTAGCAAGCAAATTTGCTCGCTAAATCTCATGGTTAAGGGATAAATATGGTGCAGAAATTCTTAAATTGATAATATGTTTTATGTTAAAAATTCTATCAACTTCTTGATTAAGAAGTAAATCCAAAATTGACCGGTAATATTATCAAGAAAGTCTTTTTCTATAGTATTACCAGTTAAATTTTGCATTTATTTCTGGGTTAAGAAGTTGATAGAATTTTTAGCATGATACATATTGTGAGAATACCAAAAAATAATATACATAATAATAAAAACCAAACTCAGATATGATAAAGAAAAAGAAAATAGAATAGAATAGAATACTAAGAATAGAAATCAATTTCAACCCTAAATCAATTCAAATCGATTTTGAAGAACAAATTCCATTCTTAAAATTGATTCTAAGCATCGATTCTAAGCATCGACTCTTTTGTGAAATGCTCGACATTCTACAATTTAATCCAACTGCATTTTTGTGAAAACGCTATTTGTTAAAAAATTGGTTGAAAGCATGCCAATTAATGATACCTGACGAAACTATTTTCATAATGACGAAAGGTTTCGTCACGTCATTCGTTGGACGAAGCTCATGACGATTGACGAAACCTTCTGACAAATCAAAATCATAGCTTAAATCACATGATGATGATGAAACCTGTGACGAAACCTTCTGACCCATCAAAATAATAGCAAAAATCACATGTACAAATCCTATTCCAAATTTAAAAGAATGTTACGTCATTAGAAATCTAGTAATGTGTTTGATTGGCTGAAGGCCATGGACGATCAAAATTATGCTGAGTTTTGGCCAGTATTATGAAAACTTGAGAAGTGTATAATTTAAATATACATACCTACAGTGTTGTCACTTGGACGTAAATCCAGCAATTTTATTGGTAAGGACGCTTGTCCCAACCAATCAAATTGCTGGATTTACGTCCAAGTGACAACACTGTCATACCTCTGGTAAAAATTATGCAAAAAAATAAACCTATTGTTTTTATGCCTAAATTGTCATTTGTCAGACGATTCGTCATTCGCCACTTACATTTCCAAAGTACGTAGCGCGAAAGGTTTCGTGAAAATCAATACATGTACCAGAACATGTATTATCGTTATCATTACGTATTGATATTTTAATATGCATTTTGAACATTCGTTCATTTCCAAAAATGGTCATCATCGTCAGGAATCGTAAGTTACGAACTACGTGGTATTTTATTGGTTAGAAGGTTTCGTCATTCGTCGTCATGTGCAAAAAGTCTAAAGCCATCCAATGCTGCGCCATTGCTGAAATTTGGTATGCAGGTATGAGCCACTTGAAGCAATAAAAATGCAGTTGCCGTGGAGATACTGAAGTCAATAAACATTCTGTGGAAATATTGTTGAAATTAACATTGGATAGCCACTATACACTTTTAGTATTCGCTAGATAACAACCCATGTTATGACTGAGATTAGCCACCTTGGCATAGCGTATTCGCTTTCATTATTTTCTGTTATTCATAATCACACCCATCTGCACAGATATTATTCAATAATTGTAACGAATAAACTTCCGTTATTCAAAAGAAAAACAAAGGCAATAAATTAGTAAGAGAAAAAAAGGAAATTCAGAAAAAGCAATAATTACGAAATTACTTTTGTAAAATGACTAACATCGATAATTCACTTTGTATTTGTATCGTTACCATTACCAACAATCTGTCTATCAATGTGTTTACATAATTCTACTCTAGTTTAAAAGTGTCAAGATTATCTGATAAACCTATTTCTGGTTCACCCCATGAATATTAAGTCCCTATAAGAAAAATACACCTGTAAATTTCGATATATACATGTACGTACATCGATATAACACAGCCTCTTTATAATGACCCGGCGGATGTGTATGAATTATAATCGAGTCTTCCATATTCTACAATTAGAAGAGCAATAGAACTAGTAAGCTTCAAGTCATTTTCAGTTTTATATATATATCTTAATCATTGGTTTTTCTTCTCATCGTTCACGCAGGCGATTATATTATATTCAGACGGTGGAACAGTTTTGTTGTGACATCAGATAATAAGTGATATCGGCACGGTTATAAATGGAAAGATCACAAGATCACATAGACGGCGGGAATTGGTGGCAGCGACCTGCTAGGTCGTTTGTCATTCAAGATGGCGTTGGGGCGTAGGAAACCTTCTTGGTTGCCTGACGTTCGAGACGGTGTCAGGGAACGGTAGGCGACTTACTGGGTCATCTGTCATCTAAGGCTGTGTTCAGCGTAGGTGACCTGCTAGGTTGCCTGACGTTCGAGGCAGTGTTAGGGGCGGTAGGTTACTCGCTAAATCCCTGGCGTTTAGCTAGCTGACCTGGCATCTGTCCCTTTGAGCGTGGACGACCTGCACGCATTTTCTTTTCGATTATATCGAGGTAAAACTGTATGTCTGTAAAAAATACGACAAAGTCTGTTATGACTGTAAAACATATTTAATAAGTCATCTGTTACATATCTTTTCAAGAAATATCTACCGGTCGAAAAGATTTGTTTTGCCTGGTCAATATCGAGGCAAAACAATAATAAATTGATCAAGTTACATTTTCCACTATTATTTAACCTTGATATTAACCAGGTAAAATACTTCTTTTCGACCAATGATCAGTATATTTCCTGATTATCTGATTTCCGGAAATTTTCATTTGATATCAGTAAATATCAGGTTAACAACTCTAAGTATGTTTTCGAAAGTGAAAGAGTATTGACTATCCTAGATCCGAAAACTTGTTGCAATAATATGGTGGAGGACACAAGTACACGTCAACTTTTTTAATTTTTTCGCAAAAAATACAGACATTTGAGCATTAATAGTTCAAATCTTAAAAAGTCATTTTGTTTTGTTTTTTTTTTTTTGACAAATAAAACAAATGAAGTTTATAAATTCGGAAGAATTCGCTTATATTTTGAAGTATAAGTCTTCGTATTTTTCGTACCCTCTTCTGTAAAAATTTAAAATCCAATTATTTTTCAATAAAATGCGATTCACAGAGCAGTTTCTTCAAAAATTTATTTTACTAAAATAACAATATCGAGGTAATATTAATGATTAAATTTTCTAAAGGAGGAGACATTTTAGTCTACGAAATTATGGTATTGATTGATGTGTGCTTGTTACCCACAATGCATTTTTATGATTAAAGTACTTTAATTACATTCAAAATTTGAATTGCTTTATCTTTAATTAAGAAGCCCAGTACCAGATATCTATGAATTATTCCGGAATTATGTAAAATTTAATCACTCCCAATCAAGTGTCCGATCGAGGTTTGGCCCTATTTCATAAACTTTTTTACATTGATTTTTTACCCTTGGCATTCATAATATAGTTTAATAAGAAACTGTAAATATTTTATCAATAACGTCAATAAAATCAATAAATACTGTACATGTAAATTGTTAATTATATATTTATTTCTTTAAGGAATTTCGTACTTTATTGACCAACCAATTTCTATTTATCACTTCTGTTTTATCACTTCAGATGCCAATTGACTTGCTTGAATTTTATTTTTTTCCGGAATCAGCAAGCCCAAGCCGTTCGTTTCTGTTATATAGCTACTGGCGATGCCAGATTGAATGATTAATGTTTGATTTTACAGAACACTGGTTTTATAAATCCAATAAACTTCTCAACTAAGTAGTAAATACAAAATATAATCTTTTGATATTCACAGATTATATTTTGTATTTACTACTTAGTTAAGAAGTTCATTGGATTTATAAAATACAATCTATATCTATTGATGCAGATGTCGCACTGCACAAAAATGCAGTAAGCAGGACACTCTAGTCCAATCGCATAACGTTAAAAAAGAAAATGTCATCAAGAGATTAGAATTAAATACTGTACTTAGAAATACCGATACACGATCTATTTGATTGTATATTATCAAGTGGCGAAAGTTCTTTAGAAAATTAAAAAATATTGTATTTTTACTACGAGTACATTATAATGTGTTTCGAATATGCTGAACGGATCATATTATAATTTCTATAGCGCATGCAAAAATGGGAACTCCAAAAAACATAGCGTATGCATTTATTACAAACAGAACGATGACTAAAGTAAAAATACTTTTTAAACATTTATACGTGTACATGTAACAGGTAAGTGATCGACCAATCAAATCACAAGATATTGAAATATTATTATAGTAAAATTTCACTAGGAACATTTCCTATTAAGACACATTGTTCTTGCAATTTGATTTGCCAATCATTACCTGTGCAAATTGTATACCGATACCGTAAAACGCATGGAACCCATCCCCCTTTGGAGAAAATTTAAACCTTAATTTTGTCCAATACAATTTATACCGTTTTTATTGCACTTACCCAAATATCTCATAACGATTATATTTGTCCTTAAATTATTTGAATTCCACAAACGTGTTTGCGTACATGTATTATGTTAACAAATACACAATGTTAAAGTTAAACGCATTGATTTAAAAGATAATGCACATGAAAAATTCGTTTAAATTACATACATTACAAAAAGACAAGCGAAATTCCCTCAATTTAAGCAAAATTAACTCTCCAAGAAAAAAAGGGGCCAACAAGATATTTGAATTATGCACGTAAAGCTTTCGCGAGCGCCCATTTAGCATCTCAGTCTTAAAGTATATACTAAATACCAAAAATGACGATATACAAAATAAGTACGTATATACTGTACGTGTGCATTATCAAAAATTAAAACCGATTCATGAACGATTGATGCAGACAATAACGATAATGACCAATTATTTGTTTATGAATCATCATGATTTGATTCATGTTACTTTAACACTTTATTCGACATTATGTACATATTTACAGTGAAACTATTGGAATTGTTTATACATGTATTTATCGTTATTGATTTGTCAAATCTCACTAAGTACGTATATATGTATGATGAGATAAACATGATGTCTATCCAAAAAGAATCCCAATACATGTAGCAAGGATCGACGTTAAAGTGAGGGAATTTCCCTTGACAAGCGAAATTCCCTCACTTTAACGTCGATCCCTGCTAAAATTAAATTGTTCGCCTATCGCTATTTATTTATCTCCTGATCAATGGCAAAAATGACGCATTACATAATATCCATAAAAGTATATTATTAATCTATTGATTCAGGTTACCGTTACGTATTTTTTATTCGAAATAAAAAGATCATGTAAAAATAATAATATTCACGGAGTAAATCTATTGAAATGTTGGTTTAAAAGATATTTAATGATTGTATTTATTGATTGTAATAAAATTGCAAACTCAATCTTGTATTCACGTTTCCAAATTGGAACATTAGATAGTAATTTTCCCACTATTGACTCAGTAGGCAAGCTCAAAAAAATGTTACTGATTTAAAACGAATTGAAAGAATGACTAATTAAAGTTTGCGTCATTTGTACCTGTGTATCTTACTTAATGAGTAATTACACAAATTACAGAAAGATAAGCGAAATCCCCTCACATCAAGCAAAATTGCCTCATTTTAACGCAAAATTGCCTCACTTTAACGTAAAATTGCTTCAATCATTGTTAGTAATATATATACATATTTATTTATAGTTTTCTCACTTGCACACGATCAAATATATAAAAACTTTGTTTCATTACTTATATATGGGCTAAGTGCAATAGAAACGGTGTTAATTATATTATAAATTCTAATACAATTTACACCGTTTCTATTGCACAGCCCATATATATAGCGCCTCTCTCCCAAAAGTTATTTTACTCATTCTCTCAAATACAAATTTTCAAATCTCCCATAAAATTCAACATATCAAAATAAAAATGAATAACTACGCACAAAAAAATATCGTTAAAGCGAAAATTGAATTATCGGGTCTAAGTTGCTCTAGTTGTGTTCGGTCAATCGAACAAAATTTAGAGAAATTACCAGGTGTCGTGAAGATATATGTAAATTTGTTGTTGAGTAATGCTACTTTGGAATTTGATCCGACACAAATTACACTCGATCGAATTACTCGAGCTATTAGAGATGCTGGGTATAAAGTTGAAAATGTTAATAGCGGTAACAACAATAATAGTTCTAGTTCATTATCAGCATCTCTACCACCCCAAAAAATCCCGAACATTAATATAACAACCATGCCACCATCAACGTCAACTCATTCAACGCTTACAATGGCAAATGCACGATTAGAGATAACAGGAATGACGTGTGCGTCATGTGTTAGTTCGATACAAACAGCAATAGAAAGCTTGGACGGAGTGGAAAACGCGCAAGTAAATTTACTCACCAATGAAGCAACGGTAAAATACAATCAACATAAAATTGGTACGCGTGATTTAGTTGAAGCAATCACAGAAGTTGGATTTGAAGCTAAAATAATACCGTCGACCACAAAAAATAATAATCTCGGAAACACGATACGAGAACGTGCAGAAAGAGAGCAACGACGATTAAAAGGTCGATTTCTCGCATCACTTTGGTTCGCTATACCCACTTTCATAATTTCAATGATATTTATGACCGCTCTACCAATCTCCAATAATGTACGCATGGCATTCATGAAACAACTCATACCGGGATTAGAAGTGGGAACACTGATACTTTTCTTATTAGCAACACCTGTCCAATTCTATCTCGGTGGTCCATTCTACGTGAAAGCATGGAAATCATTATATTATGCGCGTGTTGCAAATATGGATACACTGGTGACAATCGGCACGACAATCGCGTATGTCGGATCAATTGTGAATGTTGCTGTCCCGATAGCATATAAAGATGATCGACCAAGGCAACAGTTCTTCGAAACTAGTGTTTTATTAATCACGTTTATATTGTTGGGAAGATGGATGGAAGCAAAAGTAAAGGGAAAAACATTCGAGACTATAACGAAATTAATGGAATTACAACCAGATAAAACGACTTTGGTGAAATTTATTCAAAATGGACAAACTGATGATTCGTTTACTGAACATGAAATCGATTCGGATTTAATTCAAAGCAAGTTATTTGATCATATATTATTAGATTTTAATTTAGCGTTGCGTTTAACCTTTTTTTTTTATAATTAGTCGATGATATACTTAAAGTAAATGCGGGAGGAAGAATTCCATGCGATGGTTAGCATTAAATTAATTCTAATTCTTGGTTAATTATGAATTATTATATTGCAATATTAACCGAATAATCAATTAACTAGGGGAAATATATCGTGGAACAACGACATTAGACGAGTCAACGATAACTGGTGAATCAATTCCCGTATCAAAAGGAGTTGGTGATATCGTAATAAGCGCAACAGTAAATCAAACATCAACAATTTGGATAAAAGCAACAAGAGTTGGTACAGATACAACAATATCACGTATAATAAATCTCGTACAAGAAGCACAATCAAGTAAAAAAGCACCGATCGAAGAATTCGCTGATAAAATATCACACATCTTTGTCCCAGTTGTGATTGGAATAGCATTGTTAGTGTTCATAGTGTGGGTTGGATGTGGTGGAACTGGTAGAATCCCAAGTGATTGGTTAGACAAAGACCAAAATTATGTGATGTTTTCATTATTTTTTGCTATTTCTGTGATGGTAATAGCGTGTCCTTGTGCGATGGGTCTTGCTTCACCAACTGCGATCATGGTAGGCACAGGAATAGCAGCAAAGCTTGGAATCTTGATAAAAGGAGGCGGAGAAGCGATTGAACTAACAAACAAAATGGATGTGATTGCATTTGATAAAACGGGAACTTTGACTTTCGGTAAACCTAAAGTTATCGACGCGAATTTTTTCTATCCTAACGATCCATTGGAAAATGCACGATTATTAATGCGAATTATTGGTTTAGTTGAATCGTCAAGTGATCATCCATTAGCAAAAGCTGTTTTTCAATATACTGTAGATCAAAATACCATTGATCGAAACCTGAGTACTTCATCGTATCTTGAAACAGTTGCACCAGTTCTCGACTTACCGTCGAACAACGTGACACTGACAGCTGTTACAGAAGTCCCTGGTAAAGGACTCGAAGCAAGAGTAAAAGTTAATTTAGCACCCCGGAATTTTTTTCCTGCTAGCTATAATCCAGCAATTTCTGATTCGGATTCAAACCACGACACGACTTCATTATATTACAATGTGTTTATCGGGAATGAAAGATGGTTACGTGATCATAATTGCATGTATCCGTCTCCTGAAATAGATCAAGAAGCGAAAAATACGCTGCGGAATTGGAAGTTAAGTGGTTCTTCAATTGTGTTGGTTGGGTTGAGAAAGTCATCGGAGAAGAAAGATGGATTGATATTGGCCCAGTTTGCTGTGGCGGATACACCGAGGCCAGATGCAGCGAAAACTGTTGCGGTATTGAAAGCGCGAGGAATTGATATTTGGATGATTACTGGGGATAATCCGATCACTGCGAAGGCAATTGCAGCACAGATTGGTATTGAGAATGTGCTAGCAGAAGTATCACCAGAAATGAAAGCGGAAAAAGTTAAGTGGCTACAAAGGCGCGGTGCTTCGTCTGACAATGATAGCATTGACAAAAGTAACGTAAAAACGAAACCTAAAATCTCCAGACTACAGTCCTGGCGACTATTTAAACACTCAAAATCACAACAACGACGACGACGTGCAGTTGTCGCAATGATCGGTGACGGGATTAACGATTCACCTGCACTAGCACAATCAGATCTACCGATTTCAATAGCAAGTGCCACCGATGTTGCTATTGAATCATCGTCAATTATTCTTACGAGGTCAGCTCTCTCGTCACTTGTCACTCTAATCACATTGTCAAATTCCATAATACGTCGTATTCGATTGAATTTCTTGTGGGCTTACCTTTATAATATATTGGCTATACCAATAGCAGCTGGTGTTTTTTTCCCGGCTTTTCATTTTGCTTTGAGACCTGAAATCGCGGGACTAGCGATGGCAGCGAGTTCTATAAGTGTCGTTTTGAGTAGTTTATGGTTGAAAAACTTTAAAGAACCTTAAGTGCCGAATTAGAACTAGTCCTCATGGTTGTGTATTGTCATATGTCAGTCATTTTAACTGGACACTGTACTTATAAATCAAGTGGCGCAATTTTTTACATGTCCAGTTGGCCCAGTACCCAACTTTGCACTGTAATAAAAAACTGTTTTATTTATCACTATAGTATTTGAAAAATTAGAAACCAATTCAATGTTCAATGTTTATTTCACCTTTTTATTTCTTCATATTTTTTTGTGTCTTTGTTTTATTGAAAAAAACTTTGTTCATGTATATTAATTGAGCTTGTATACTAGCCAATAAAAGTAACTTAGAAAGTTAATTATTTGAACTGCGAAGATAATTAATCTTTCTCCGATTCAAATTATACTTGAAAGAAATGTTCGCATTACAGCGTTGCATAAAGTAACCCATCCCCGTTTGGAGAAAATTTTAATTTTAATTTAGTACAAAAATTTGACGAAATTGAAGGTTTTACTAAAGAAATCGAACTTAGGTGTAACGTTATATTGTTGCGTGCTACTATTTTAATCGGTCAAAGAGGGGTTTTTACGCAACTGGGATGAGAGCTAGACTGAATTATT